CCAACGCGAGCTAGCCAATGCCATGCTACCTGTCTGTGCGATGTTCAACTGGCTGTGTAAAGCAAACACCCTCACACGATGAACGCGCGCACACACACACACACATTCATGCATTTACCTCGGAACACGCTGAGCAGGAACAAGCACGTCGCAACACTGTTGCAGCTTTGACCCGCTTTGCACTCCGCACTCCGCGCGCAGCTTGTAAATCATAGAAACAACACATCCAAAAGAAGCAGTCAGTATGGGTGCAGCGGCTTGCTCACACATCTGGCCCCCAGGGATTCTGTGCACCCGCACCTCCTCTCGCTGCGCCCAGTCACCCTCGCCTCAGTGACAGGTCTGATATCGGAAGGCGTCCCTCTTATCCCCCGTCGGCTCTCCAATTTTCGTTCCTCGCCGGCTTGCATAGAATAAATGGAAAGGACAAGCACAAAAGACATGCATCGAGGCACAATTACAAGGGGCCAAACAATTACACAGACGCACATGACTCTCGGCTCGTATTCTCACTTCATTTGGCTTAACGTACCCTTTCAACCTCATGTGGGTCTCTCATGGTAGAACAATCATGTACTACGTGAAGACATGAGAGATGGAGCGAGAGCTGTAATGTAGATGGATCTCCTAGCGCCCGAGGGTTCCTTCCTCGGGATACAATTTGATGGAGCTTTGATGACTTCCCCCCTCCACTAAAGCACGTGTTTTTCTTTTTGTGCGTCACCATGTCTCTTGTGGGTAGTGAACTACCAGGAAGGCGTTGCAGGCTCATGTCAGGAAACACTGGGGTTTACCAAAGCGATTCGAAAATTCACGGCTTGGAATATTGACAAGTTTGGGACTTTATGGCTTCAGAATCGGGAAACAACTCCCCTCTCTCTTGAAAAGGCTGCTTCCCAAAACAAAACTGCTGCCCTCCCACCAACTGACATGGAAGTGTACAAACCCCATATCCAAGAGGAAAGTAGTCTTACAGGGATCTGTGCACAACCCCTTGTTGGTCGGTGGGAGGCTATCACTCCGTCAACGCGCCACCGCCCAAACACACCGAACCCGATCCCTGAGAGGTGCTTCCGTCCGGCGCGTCAGTTGGCCTCCCGGCCGGCTGCTTGTCTGGCCCGCCGCAGGTCGAAGATCAGCTCGGAGACCACGCGCTCTTTCTCCTCTCAAGCACTCACTTCCGATCGAGCGGGGCCGCAAAAAGTAGCCAAACTTGTTACTTATCACTAACATGGTCTTCCTAAAAATCAAGTCCGAAACGGAACTCAGAGAGTGAGAACGTGGATTGCAACCAAAGGCCAAGGTCTATGAATTTCTGAATTCCCGCGCATGGTTGGAGGTATTGATTCTTGGGTGACAGCCTGCAATCCAACCTTTTCCAGTTTTTGATTCCAGGTTAAAAAGGTGCGCCGTGGTCAAAACTAGGAAGGTTTCACCATGAGGACAATTGGATGAACGCAAATGGCGCATTTCCTGTACAAACACCACATTTCCCCATTAAATTTCATTAAATGGTTGTGGGTCAAAACACAGGGAACCCTAACTGGAACCGTGGTGAGTGGAAACAGGGACCAAACTCTGCGGTACCCTGGTGGATTAATTTTGACCCATACCCACTGACCCTGGTACCAAAGTTTTGGAGGTCATCGACTTACGGGCACAAAAGGAATAGCGCCGTCTATCTCGGTGTACACAAAGCTCAGCGGAGGACAGTTAAAGCCACAGAAAGGTGCACATATCCGCCAAAATTTGATTCTTCACCTGATTTTGGGTAGACCTGCTTCATGTCAGGGTTAGATTGTCACTCGGGCGGCGTCGTCAAAACATGGCCCTTTTCGTCGAATCCACACTGGCCCTTTGTCCTCCCACACGATTCGAACCACCAGGCAAACATGTTTGTGAGCTCAATTACGTGCGCGAACTGGGCTACGGGCTATAAATGTGAATTTCACATTTCAATTGGGAATGTGGTGGACGTGGGATTCATGTGGAGTAACGCTCGTTGGCCGCCGCCAAATAGCTGAGTTGGCTTTCTGGCCGCGAGCCAACCAGGTTGCACATCTAAACGCGAGTTCTGGGTCGATTGGCAAGGCCATAGCTTTTTCTCCACCGCAAGCGCCATCCCTTGAAACACCAACTTCAAAAGGCGGTTCGAAATCTATGTTGAGAAACTCTCAAATGACAGGGGATCCCAACGTGGCTTCGGCTTTCCCTTTGGTTCACCATGACGCTCGTGCCTTCGTTCGCGCGTTCCCAAAGCTTCGGTGGAAACACCGCCATATCGATCCAATGGGTGGGGAACTTGTCTGGGCTCAGTTTCAGATCAGTGCCGCCTCCAATTCGGCCTGCAGCTGCCTGCCCCTTTGCTGCTCCTGGGTTTGTTTGCTCCGGCCGACCCAGTGTTTGGACATCGATATGTGGAAAATTCCTAAGAGCCTATGGTTTTGTGGATGGACAAAAAACCAACTTCGCACTAGCTGATCGGTGGTTAAAGGGATTTGTCCATCAACAGTAGGTAAGGGGGAAGCATTCCAAGACCAAATTGATAAGGCCGAATTTTCCACGAGACCGGTGGTTTGGGAGTAGTCAACACCCCCGTCCCCGCGAGCCGAAGCGAGGTGTGACAAACATGTCGGCCCCTTCAGGGTGACGGATAGCCTCTGCACTTTCGTTCTTATTTTGAACGTCATCCTGGGTTCTTGGATGTTGGAACAATGATTCCCGACAAAAGAGCGCACACAAGACAAAGGTCCACCGCTCAAAGCTCAAAAGATCCCGGCACTCTGCTTTTCGGCCCACTTGACGCCAGCCAGGCACGATGCAAGAGAAACCACCCAAATTCAGGGTCCCCAATTTTGAGACACATGTCCCGGTTAGAAGCGCAAGGTGATTTTCTTGAGTTCTGAAGGACAGCTACCAAGTACCGCTGACCGCTTTTGAACAATCCGATACGTCACGTGTCAACGGGAGGGAGAACGTGGCCTTTGCCCTAAATTGAGGGCATCAAGGCCAAACTCTCTCCTCTCATTGTTCTATTATCGTTTCCTCGACTTAGAATCCCTCAAGGACCTCTCTTTTGGGTCCATGATCTACCTCAGCTTTCGGCCTAAAACAAAACCACAAGAACTCTAGATTCTGATCTATGTATCGTGGACCTTCAAGTGCACGCTTTCGACGTGCAGAGTATCCCAATGGACAAACCGACCCTTTCTGTGACACCAAACCGGCCCACCCCATTGACTACTTGATCACTTTCAAGGAAGTCGCCTGGTCACTCACAGAAAATGGCACCCCCAAACCGCAATCCTCCCCTTTACCCGCAACGACAAAAGGAAACTCACCTAACATGGGCCCCAAAAGGGTGAGGTTGCGCATGTACAACACCCTTTATCAATCCTACGTGAGTTCTTTTGCAAAAATGGCTCATTCTTCAGTGCAGCTCAACATGTTAAAACAAAAAAACAAACATACACAATACAGGGTTGAGATGCCATTTCTTCATCACCTGAGTGCTGTTGCGTCCCCAAAAAGATCCAAGCCGTCCCATGGTTGAGACCCCGGAGCACCTGTTCCAGCTGCTGGCGAGCGTCCACCTGCCGATTTTCGTGGGGTGCTGTGTTTGGAGTTGGAACCGCACCTTTTCTAGTGGGTTTAAAGGGAAGCCAAAAGGAAAACCGTAAAGCCATTTTGGCATTTGGCCTTCAACAAGACACACCCAGAATTGAGGCCATGGGAATTTGGTGAGCAACCCCCCGCTTTCTCAATGGTACTTCGGTGTACCCAATGCCAAGCCCTTGACTACAGTACGGGTCTTTCTGAAAATTGTGGACCCTCCAGGTGGTTTGCCTTTGGCTTCCTTTTAAAGCCATGCAAACAAAGTGGTCCATTTCTCCCATTTTAAGGCATACACATTTTGACCCCAAGTTGTTCGCCAGCTGAGGCTCGAGAAGAAGCTCGCCAGCCGTATTTTGATCCCCGGCTCTGACTCCATTGGCTAAATGGAGTCAGGTCCTTTGGGGGGTACCGCCCCCCACGCCACGGACATCAACCCCCCCCCCCCCTTGCACCAGACCCACCAAGAAACCATCTGCCCCGGGGGAAAGAAAAAAACACAGAAAACAGGCAAAGAAACAAAAAAACAAGACACAAAAAACAGACAAAACAACAAAGAAACAAAGAAACAAACCGGAGGCCAAGCACCGACTGAGTAACCAGCCCCCGCCCTTTTCTCTTCCTAGGTCCTCCAGTAGAGAGGTTAGAATAAGGGTACCAACTTTTGTCTGCAGTCTATTTTAGCACCTAACCAAAGAAGAAACGGTAAAAGAAACGGCACCAATTGCTGGGGGACCTAGCTTCCATTCCCTTTCGGCCGATTCTGCGCTTTGCCTCCAGGCGTCGCTTGCAGCTTTCCAGCTCCGACTCTAGGCTGTAGATCTTGTCCCGGAGCTAACGGAAGCCGAGCGGCGGGGAGCTGAGCGCTGGTCGTCCTTGAAAGGTTGGGAACTGAAACCAGCATAGCTTCGTCCTTCTTGGAAAATAGATTTATCCGGGTTCCCAAAGGGTCCAACTAGCATAGGCTTGCCCTTTTCGGAAAGTTGATGGCGGATTGATCAGGAATCGGTATCTTTCAACCAAGTCAACCAAACAGGCACCTTTGCAAACCAGCGGTTCAAACAAAGGAACCTGCTCGGACATCAGATCTCCGGGCTCCGGTTTTGTTTCAGCATGGAATCATAGCATCCGATTTCTGAACCCAACCTAAGGAGTCACCCACCTCCATTGTTGGAACCTCGCTTCCTGAGTTGATTGGCCAAAAAAAGTTCAAACTTCATATTTACCACTAAACTGGTCTTCCCAAAAAGTCTCAAGTTCATGAACTCAGGAAGTGAGGAACCCTTCACGAGGGGGTCGATCAATGGTCCAAAGGTGGCAAAGAGGACCCCCCCCGGTCGTTGGGCACAGCGACTGCCTCAACGGACTCCTCAACGGACTCCCAGCGCCTCGCGGGTGCCCTGGACCTCCAGCCTCAGCTCCTGCCCGGTCCCCCCACAGCCCGGCGTTTTGAGCTCCGCTCGAACTCGGTCGAGGTGCCGGGGGGAGGCTTGGTTTTGGGCCCTGTCTTTTTGGTTGGGCGCGGTTTTTGGGGGGCTTGGGGCTTGCTCGTTTGGGGGGGCCTTTTATTTTTTGTTTGGCTTGGTGCTGGCTAGTTTTTTGGGGTCGCTTTTTTTTGGGGCTCGCGGCTTGGGGCGAGGTTGGACCTATGCATTACCCCACCCACATTTCTTTTCCGACGTGCGTGAATCGGACTCTGGCTTTTTCTCCCAACAGGGCCGCGTTCCAAGCTGGGCTGAGGTTCCTGTCATTTCGGGAATCCGATCTTGGTTATAAAGAGTCTACTTCGCATTTTGAGACCGCCCAGCTGTGCGCGGTAGGTCTGGGAGGAAGCTGGCGAATACTGTGACCCAAAGACTCTTGGGCCCATGTGTAGTGTAAGGAGCCAACAGATCCAATCCGCCTTTTTCAGTGATCCAGGGCATATCGCCCAACTCTTTCGCTCTGCAGGCAAGGACGCTATGGTCCAAACTGTTTCCGTCTGGTCATGGTTTAAATTTGCGATCGCCGACTCGGGCCTTTTGACAATGGCACCTATGTCTTTGCCAAGGCCTTAGTAGGGGCTCTTCAGCAGCCGAAGCTGCCGCCAAAGGAGGGTGTGCCATTTTAAGAGGGAATCCAGGCAGGGTTAAAGGGAAACCCAAAAACATGTTTAAGGTTCTCAAAATGCTGGGTCAGGGTATTCGGTTCAAGGGACCCCTCAAAAACAGATCGTCACCATTTTGGGGGGGGTCCCAAAATCTTGACGCCTTGTCCGTTGATTTCTTCCATTTGCTTAAGCCCCCGAGAAAAACTAAATCTATTTCCAGTGGTGATAGATTCCCTTGAAACCCAGCAAGGATGTGATGGCTTCTGGGCCGCGCCTTCACCAAGGGTGGTGCCTGCTCGCCGGCAGCTAGCAGCACATTGAGCGGCCTAAGCGATTTTTTTTTAGCAGCCCGAAGAAACCAGGCTTTCCCTGCAACTCAACCATGTTGATCTGCAGGGGAGTAAATTCTATGTACATCCTTCGCTGGTCCCTTGATACCATTTTGACAATGCGCTAGGCATGAATTTTGGACAATGCGCTGGTCATTATCAGTACGATTTCATTAAAAGCCAAGGTTCCCCCAGCCATCATGATTTGTCCTTGGCTCACTTCCAGTGGTGAGTGCGTTAGACTTTGCCCTTTCCGCAATATCAAAGCTCTTCATTTCTCTCACTACAGGCGTTCCCCCGACCCGAAACCCCAGCATGACCAGTTCAACGGCAGAACTACTCGCAACATGCCCAGCCGCAGCCTGGGCTTCTGGAACTCTTCGCTTCGGGCTGCCTCCTGCGCGGCAGGCAGGCAAGCTCTTCGCAGATCGTGGCACTCTTGGAGCAAACTCCTTAAAAGGGAAGCCCCCTGAAAAGGGTTCAACCCAACCAACGTGCCAATTTGGGGTCCAAAAAGTCAACTTGGGGGGACCCCCCCAAAAAGGGTTCCATGTCAACTTGCAGGGGAGCACATCAAAAACAAAACGCCATGCTGCCAGTGTTGCAAACTGCATTCCACTCCCAGCTGCATTGACCTTCCCGCCCAAAGAAGCCTTTTGAGTCTCAGCCAAGGTACCAACATGCTGTTGCAACGGAGCACGATAACTCTGCAAAAGGGGACATACTGTGGATGGACGAAATCCTGCACTTCTTTGAAACCATGGTTGAAACCATTGTTTGTTGGTATTTACAGAGGAACCATCATTCCAGGATTTCTGAACGGCGGTGCGAAATGGATTTCGTCCATCCACAGTAGGCCCAGTGATCACGTTCTTGCACACAAGATGGCTCTCCACATGGTGTGAGCTCGTTGCAGAGCTCGCATCCATGTCCTCCTGCCGTAGCGCATCCAGTTCCCGCTGGAGCCGCGCGCGCTCCTACAGCAGGTACAAGCTTGCCAAAGTCCACCAGTCCACAAGTTGAGTACGTCAAACCTTGTCCATTTGAGGTACACCCAACAAACATAATTACTGTCTGCGTGCGTGGAGGGAAGTCATTTTCCATGTGGCTTCTGTCTCAAGACAAATTGGTTGCCTTTTCTGTGCCGTAGGTTTGTTTTGTTGTGTGCGTTTGTATGTTGCTTTTGTAACGCTCCAGAGCAGTCTCACAAACACGTCGGGTTGCTTTGTTCATGTTTGTTTTCCCACGATCAATGCTCCCTTCTTTGATTCTGTTTCATGTTTAGTCTACCCCACATATAAAATGGTCGTCAGGTGTCCTCCCCAGAAACAAGAGTAACAGCGACGACGCCCCAGCCAACACTGGAGGACTTCACCCAACATGAATAACGTACAACTCCAGGCAGCAACATGTCTTCTTGTTTGCTGAACCTCAGCGAACTATGTTTGATTCCATGGACCACGCAACGAGTTCGCTCGCGGAGCATGGGTGGAACATGGGTCCTCTCTGTGATACCAAAGTCTGACATCCTTGACATAAAGTCCAATTCTCCCCAACCATGGCTGCACCCCCCCCACCCTGCAGCCACAGGTCACTTCTTGAAGGGTTCTTCGTCATTTCCAATCCCCACTGATTGTCATTTGGGGCCGTGGCCACATGACCCCACTTTCCACTCTCGTGGCTCTGGTCAAATGACAACTCGGGCCTCTTCAGATCGGAAGAGTGCTGTCCTTGGAGCGCCAGCCAAAACCGGTGGTCTGAAGGTATCAGGTCGCAACACCTAGCTCAACCAACCAGAACCACAAACGAACAGCCTCTGTTACGATGGAACTAAGCGTTAACTCTTTGAACCTGTGTGCGCAGCTTTGTAGAAGTGACGGTAATACCACAAAATGGATGATCCACGTCTACCACTTCGGTCGCATTGCTACTGGAACTGTCTGTTCAACCAACTGAGCCCACGGCTGAAGCTGGTCCACCTGCTTTCGACTCTTGGCCTGGACAGGCGCCTCCCCATCAAATACGACGCTATGTCGTACCTTGACTCGGATCTTCGGTTCCAAACCCCAAACACAAATCCTCATTTTCTGGGCTGCCCTCAGATCCCCTGCTAAAAGCTTAACTTTTAGTGGGTTAAATGGACACCCAACCACTAAACACCAAAAGGATCTCAAAAGCTAAGGAACCGGATGAATCGCTGGCTTCGCCACCAAGTTTTGAGAGGAACGCTGCTTTGTGTTACCTGGGACCTGGGACACTTCCACTCCAAGGCGTGGGCTTGAGAGAAGTAACTTTTTTCTCGTCTCCCAAGGGACAGGTCTGTCATCACCTTGAGGGGAATTGCAATTGCCCTCTCTGGGGGTTGATATAAAAGGGAACCCAAAAGGAGAGAACACCCGTTTCTTTTCTTTTCTTTCTGTTTTTTTTTTTTTTGGCGGGGGGGCGGGTCGGTTTTTGAAAGAACGACCCACCCACAAACAGTCTTACAATATTATATCTTGGTTGACGTTGGAAGTGGAGACGTTGGAAAAGGAGCAAACATTTGAATTTTAGCGGTTAAGTGGGGATTTCCTACTTAACCACAATAAGCAAAAATGTAAAATGCTTCTCAACAACAACCATGGTATGACTATGAAGGAAGCCACGACTACCAAGTGATCTCCGGCAAGCCACGCCTCCACCGCCCCGTCCAGCCGCCTTTCCTGAGCGACGGCACTGGAACCTTCTGGCCTCATTCTTTTTACCATGGTCAAAGTCACCCCCTAGTGGTGGGTTAAAGGGAAACCACCCCATTTTCCGACTTTGATAAACCCGCAGAAACCGTCAAAGTAATGAGCCCAGACCTTCGGAAGCCGCCTTTAGCTTTACAAGCGGGAACGCTCGCAGATCTTCATGCAACTTGCGCCGAAGATGTTGCAAAATCCCAGACCCCCACCGGGGAAAAGAAGGTACTTTCAAGTGTAGCCCCCTCCAAAAACAAATCAAACAAGGGCACACCTGGAGGTCTGGGTAACAGATAAAGTGAGCTTTTGGTTCCAAACAGAAACCAGGGAAACAAAAAGCCGGCGCAAGGAGGAGAAGTATGATCCATCCGTTTCGAGAAACACGGGGACAAGCCAACCGGTTGGCCTATGACATGTTGATCCGCCAAAATGGTGAAGCCACACTTGCCGACTCGTCGGCTGGCAAGTGGGACGGCAAGTGGAGCTTTCAAGGGAAAAGGACACCCATCATTCTGGGGGTCCCCTACAACAAGACCCTCCCAAGTGATGAGGTTTCGAGTCGTTCAGCCGACCCATGTTCACCGGCCTTGGCATTGTCTCCAGCAAGAAAGCAAACCTGTGCTTTCTTTTTATGGTCCCCTGCGCAACACTTCCATTCTTGTTCAGGTTGGAGGGAAACATGCATTTTCTCAATTAGTGAACAAAAGCCAAGTAGCAAGTAGCACACAAGGAGCGCGCTGCAAACTCATTTTGAATTGGCCCGTCCAGCAAGCAGGTCATGTTAAAACTATCATGGAAAACCCCCTTTTTCTAGATGACCAAAGTGCTTGGGAACCGAACAGATCCAACACGTGATACTTCAATCTTCCCAAAGCTGAAGTCACTTTCTTCCAAATAAAACAAATAGACGATGCTGAAAGGGGGACTTTTGGGACGCCCCTTTTCGAAGAAAAACAACAACAACAAACAAGGGAAAAAACAAGAGAAACCCGTTCCGCCGAACTCGCGGGTTCTGGCTGCTTCCCCGTCCTTCGCCAGACTTGCGCTGCGGCGCCGGGGCAAAGGCTCCAAGGCCTCGCACGATGCTGCCCTTGGCTTCTGGTTCTCAGCTGGGAATGAGAAATGGAATGAGCCCTATAAACCATGCCGTATGATTTCCTTTCAGGGAATCCCCAGGTTCATTCCCAACATCCTGGGTCAGTCCCTACTGCGCAAGAAATGACAATGGGCTAAACCATTACCCTCCCACCAATTAACATGGAACCTGACAGGGGGATGGTCTGGAAGACCATCTTCCTTTTTAAAGGGACCCCTGTCAGGTTCCATGCCAATTGGTGGGAGGGTACTAATAGTTTACCACGCATGACAAAATATGGTTTTAAGTACCCCACACCTCCATTCAAATTATTTAGGGTCTCAACTCACTTCCGACCAAGATTGGCACCAAACTTCTGTCATGTATACAGAATGGTCTTCACACGCATCAAGGAACTCAACCAGTGAGTCAAAATGGCGCAATCCACTTGGAGTCTTCAAACCAGACCCCAAAGACAGGGGACTGCTGCGGGGCCAGTTTTACGCTCCCGATATTTCCACTTAAAACATCACCCCCACCAAGGACACTCACCTTTCATGGTGCCAAAAAGGTGATGTTTAAAGCCGCAAAAGGAAATATAGGGAGCCCTGTTTGAAGCGCGCGGCGGGACCTGCCTGGCCGTTTCCCTGCGCCGCAGCCAAGCCAACCTAAGGCTGCGGCGCGCTGTGAGAACTTGGTGGACGTTGGAAGGGGAGCAACAATGAAAACGTACCCCTGAAAACTCCCTGCGCCCTGGGGAAGTTCTCATCTTTTACAGACATATAGCCCATGTTACCCAAAAAGTTGAAAAGTTGTGTTTTAAGAGGTAAGAAAAAAAAGCGATCGGATGTCCACCACTAAACCGCAATAAGCACACATGTACGTAACATGTGTCCCAACAACAACCATGGATCCGTTTCCAACATGTTCTTTGTTTTTGAGGGTACCTTTTTTTGTGGTTTTGAAGGAACGCCAACTGGAAAACCCGTGCGACATTTTGGGGGGTCTGATTCCTAAAGAAGGAAGCGAGCCCAGCCACACGGAACTTGGTCAACCTCGCCGTTCGGAAAGCTTGGGTCTGGCAAGCCAGGACGTTGGGAAGGTAACCCACAAGTTAGATGAGATGCACGGCAAATCTCAACGAGTCATGTGACTCACAATCAACACCTGGTACTCAAGGGGTCCCCTATGTAAGGAGTCAAGTCTACGTTAGGGCGGAGATTCGCACCTATTTTGCTGGGACGATCCCTTACCTTCACATACCCGAATCGGTTTTGATTGTGCCTCATGTGATTCTGTCCAAGAATTGTCTTGGCAAACATCTGTGGTACATCATCTTTTTTCAGATTCTGTATCAGTCTACCCCACATGGCCATGGGTCAAAAGCCCATACCCCCATTGAACATCCCAATCCCCGCTAAAGTAGACTAAAATGGGTGGTGCACCTACCCCAAAATGGTACCATTGGTTTTGACCCACAGCCACATCTAAACGCAGCTTTCAAGGATAGCTGGAGCAGACCAGACCCACCGAAGCTTCAACCAGCTCTTGCTCTTCCCCGCCTTAGGCACCTCGGCGCAGCCCTGGCCAGGCTCGGGTGAGCTGGGCCGGAGGGAATGAACCCAGGCTTTCCCACGCACCAGTTAAACATGGGGAAGTTGGGTTCCATTTCTCAGGGACCCTCTCTCGCACCCGCAAGATTCCCGCTCACAGACAGCAGGATTCCCGAAAAACCCAGCTTTTCCGCCAGACTCCGGGTTTCGGGTCTGGCGATTCGGGTCCGGTTCTGGCAGCTCTGAAGGCTGGTGGGTGCTTCCCTCCCGACATGGACCTTCCAGCCATCACTTTCTTCCCTGTCCGAAGGTTGCCTCCCAACATGAATCTTCTAAAAGGAACATGAACCTCCAGCCATAACTTTCTGTCCGAAGTGAGGGTATTCAGGATGATCGATTTGCTCTTGTCGGACACAACCATCTGCTCCTACAACCGAAACCGAAACGCGTGCTTGAAGAATGAATATGACTGGAACATGCTTCGAACCAAGCTGAAATCCATGACCATCGGTTCTTCGGCCTATCTGCAACCAAACTGACCTCGGAAAGGACATCTATGTCCCCTGCCGTTCAAAATATCATGGAAGCGTGGGGTTGGTCGTTTCCCAAGTTGATCCCATCTGCACAATGCTTTGTATCATTCACCGATCGCAACCGAGGAAAGCGCCTAGTCAAGGACCTTCATCACGGTTGCGCTCACCATAAAATAGGCAGGGGCCCATCTGCAATTGTTGCAACATGGCCATGGGTCAAAATCCAAATCGCACCCCAGTGAACATCAACCAATCCAACCACTAAAATAGGCTCTAAAATGGGTGGTGCATTCACCTACCCCAAAATGGTACAGCCACATTTCTCGGAACTAAGACATGGGTCCCTTTCCTTTGCTTTCGGCGAGCCTCGTTTCCGTGCATGGTGAGCTAAAATGGAGCCCCAAGAAAAGGCCGCACGTGGTGAGCTTGTTCTGCTCACGTGAGTGGGCCAAAAACAGTCTGAACTTTTGGTTTACCACTAACTGGCCAACATGGCCAACAAACACCAAACGTGACTGACGTCCGAAACGGAACTCAGGAAGTGAGGTCTCTGGTGAGCTTCTTCCACCCCTCCTCCCCACAAAATCGTGGCATCGCCTGGAAGTTTCCACCTCTGCGACCCACCCCCACCGCCCCCGCCGCTGCGATCGCCTGCGGCGCCTTGGCCAGAAGCCGCTGCAGCGCATCGGCGGAGAAGAAGTGGTGCCGGTCCGGCTGCAGCGCTGCGGCCAGGCGCGCCCAGTCTTCCTCCTGAGTTGGCTCGGTTGGGGCGGGGTGGGGGTGGGTTGCGGGATTCTGGTAGGGAGTTCTGGTTGCGGTGGGTTGCGCGGATGGGTCGGGGTCGCAGGGATTCTGGGGGAGCTTCAGGGCTTGGGGAGCTTCGGCTTGGAGTGGTTTGAAGGTGGGGACTTGGGAAGGTGGGGAGGTCGGGCGCAGGCCACTCAGACCCTCAGACCTCGCAGCCATCCCAGCGATCTATCTGTACGCTCCTTTTTCCCTCTTTGCATTCTATAACCCAGGAGAACATGGCCAGGAAGCATGTGCAAATATGTCGGGAACGTTGGCAAAATACGGGCAATTGGCGAAACTCGGGGAAGGCAGTGCCACAACACACACACACAAGGGATGATACGCCGAAAAAAAAGAGAAGAACAACAAAAACAGAGACCATAAGCTAAAGAACCAGTGTAACACTGGCATAGACCCGAAGAACAGTTGCACACATGTAAGCCACAACCCATGCAACCACAGTTTCACTGGGTCCACTTTTAGTGTCATCCCCAAGACTATGCTCTGAATCAGTTTCGAAGCTCCACCCCAAAATAATCTTCAAAACCCTCAAGCTGGAACCATTTCAATCTACTTAGTCTTGAAAATGAGCAACCAGCCCAACTTGACTTTTGGTTCTCAGATTATATAGGTAACTCCTGAACACCCAGGTAGCTTCTTTGGGCGCTGCTCAATTGGGGGGGGCTTACCATTTTGGTCCAGCTCCTATTTTGACGAGCTATCCAAATGGGCGGTGTCTCACTTCCGATCGAGTGGATCGGCCAACAAAAGGTAGCCATACGCCACTAAACTAGTCCAAGCCGAATAAGTTCGACTAAACTTGCTGGTTCTCGGCAGGGAACGAGGGAATGATCCCTGTGCCCCGATCCCCTATGGTTTCCTTTCAGGAAATCCAACACGGCTCAACCCCGGTCATTCCCTACACCCCATCGCCATCGCAAGTAGCCGCCCGCCGCTCCTTCAAGGCGAGACGGTAGCGCTGGCACGCCACCCGGAAGCCTTCGAAGGACACCTTGCCTTGCCTCGGAGGTGCGTCGTGCGCGGAATGGGATACCCGGAAACTTCGAGTTGGGTGAGAGGGTGACGTGTTGTTTAAGCCACCAAAAAGCGAAATATAGGGGAAAGGGCGCAGAAAAGGCAGTTTTCAGTTTGCTGGCTGGTTTACTTGCACTGAGTAGCTCTCAGCTGCTTGAAAACCTGTCGTTTGCTCACAAGCCATTGCTGTGTGTTGGATAGGGCCCATCTGCGCTTTTGTTCGTTACTTCGCCACCAGAATGGTCCAAGCCCAAGTAGAAAGTCCGGCGAAACTGCCTCGCCAGCCTGACAGATTTGGCATGCAGCCGGAAACTGGAGCATGCCCATGTAGCCCATTATTAGGAGGAGCCACCCACCGATGTGGCCTTAGAGAAAACTAAAGCTTTTGACATCAGCGTTTCCTTCTGAATTTGCAGTTGTTCCCTCACGCGTCCATGGCAACACGTTGCCTCTCCCATTGCATTTGTGCAAAGAAACCCCTAAGTCAAAGATGACTCACTCTTCGATCCTAGGCAATTGGCCGCAAAAAACACGTGAATGCCCCCCCCCCCCCCCGCCGCGGAACACAGGGAAGCCGCTGACATCCAAAAATCACGTGGCACCAGTTCATGTTTCACATGGAACCTGTTCAGAAGTTCTCTAAGGACCTTGTACAACTTTGGTCTCTGGAGGAGACCGATTCAAAATCCATGTAGCCTTGCATTCTTGTCAGGGAATTTTCAGGTCTGGAGGGAGGCTTTACCCTCTAAGCCCATAAGGCATATTGTATGCCCTCATACATCCTCGTATCATGTAAGTGGTGGCATATAGCCTCCGTGCTAGGCATGCAACCTCCACGCCCCCTTAAACGACTCGCTTTCAATTGTAAGCAAACGATGACCTTGGTAAGAACCAAAGGAGAAGTACCCTCGCACCCGCGCTGACAAAGAGTCAAGGGGGAAATTTGACCATGATACAAAAGGTGATGTTTTAACCACCAACAACTCACTTTAGTGACCCTGGAAAAAAAACAGGGGAACCTTTTTTGGGAAGACCATTTTAGTGGGGCAGCCACCAAAAGAAAGGGAAACAAGGGTGCCACTGAACAGTTGAGAAAAGGGACATTTAGTCAAGTGTCTCTCTGGGGGGTTTGGACCTCCTGGTCGACAAGGCCAGAATCGGAATTCTCTGATGTCCAAAAGTGTCAGCTGCTCCCAAAGATACAGCTGAGTCTAGTTGGTTCAACATAGGAGGGACCCCAAAAATGGATTTCGACTTTCCTACCACTTTCCCTCCAAAGCAAGAGTGGAAGAGGATGACAAAGGTGCAGTCAGTACGTCTCCAAGAACAAACGCACCCAGCAAACAAAACCAGGTGGACGGACCGGGGCCCTGGCATCTCCGGATCGAGTTCTGCCAGGACCTTTACCAAGCTCAATCCCCGTCGCTGCAAGGCCCCGCGGAGCGCCTCGCACGAGAACCCGCGGATCCCCTTGTGATTGTTTTGTCTAACCAAAAAGTGGTCTGCCCAAAGAGTGGTCGGAAAACAGAGGCTGGTTAAGGCCCCAGGAAAAATGGTAAAATATTTCCAGTAGTGATGAGCTCCTTTCAAAAGCCAACAAGGGAAAATAATAAATATATTCTTAAGCAACTGGAGGGACGTGGTCTGCCCAAAGAATGGTTTGACCAACACGGTCTGGTGAGGTCAGGGATCTCCCGGGCCTCCGCCGCCGGGCGCGCTTCCAAGCGATGGGGCACAGCTTCCTGACGCGGCACGGCGCGGCAGTCCACACAGTGTACCCCGGGCCACCGGCAAATTCCGAGTTCGAAGCTGGAGTTTAAAGTTTCAGCTGAAGTTCGGGTTTCTGTTCGAGTTTCTGTGTCTGTGTCAGTTCGAGTTTCTGTTCCTGTTTCAGGTTTCGAGCTTCTGTTGCACGCTGCGGCAAATGGGGCGGAATGGGGTGCAGCAATGCGCCGTGTTGTGGGAGTCCGCAAAAAGGAAGAGATACATTTCCTGGCGCGCTGTAGCTGTGTTGGATAGGCTGACCATGTTCGCGTGCTTTGGCGTCACAGGCCTGGAGAGCTTTATTGTGCTGGATAGGCTTGATGGAACCCTCGTACTGGCTGGAGCCTAGGTGTTGGCACCATGCTTGCAAATCTTGGCGGTGAGGCCAATGTGTGCGGCTGGGAGCCACTCACAAGTTGTATTCCTCGCGCACGATTTGCTGCAATTTCCCCCTGCGCTCACCTACACTGGCTACGACAGCGCGTGTTCGGTTTTGAGACGCTTGCGCGGCAAGCGGTCATCTTTTCCACAGGACTGGCAGCCGGTGGCCAGGAGCTAGCTAGTTGTGTGGAGATGGTAACACGCAGAGCAGAAAGATACTCGCAAAGAAAGAAGTTCGGCGCGCGCGCAGTCCGGCAGATCGTGAGCGCGAATCTCGCCGGCCATCACATCGGCAGAAAGTTCTGCCACGCACCTTCGATTGCTGTTCCAAAAGCACTGCGTCTACAGTCTTGGTCGTCCTGTGCGAAACAATTCGAGAAGCCTGGCTTCGGGCGTGAGCAGCAGCCTTGCAAGTGCCCAGTCGGCGGTCGTCAGACCACCTGGGCGCCGCCACGCTTTCCCCCCTTTGTCAATTCCAAGCGCCCACTACATATTGAAGTTTGCACGCTCCATTTCCCATCCAAAACTGCCATGGCTAAGGCCTGCAAGGCGTCGAATGCTTGTCGCAGGATGACAAGCAAGGGCTCGAAGTCTGTTGCCTGATGGCGATTTTTTCAGAAGACACACAGCCCCAGCTCCACAGGAGGAGCTCAAGTTCGAACACCACTTTCAGGGACACAACCAACACGTGGCAAAACAAGTGCTATACGCCGTCCCGAGAACCTCTCAAAAAGCGAGGGGCTGCCTCCAAACCAAACTATGCGACTGCGTGCTGGAATCCAATCTGAAAAAATAAGCTCCGGCGATATCCCCAACAACACCATCCCTTTGACAAACTTTGACCTACCACTTAGGGGGCAACTTTGACAATGGCGAAATAACGGGGCCAAGCGTCTCCAGCGAGACCACGACCTGGTCCGCCCCAGCCAGGACCCCGCTCACATGGACGCGCTTGAACACCATGTCAAAACAAGTCGACCTTTTCGCAGCGGTCCGGCACCTCCTCCGGGCTCAAGTAATTTAGGGCAAAGTCTGGCTCCGGGCTGTCAGGAGCAGCTGGAAGACCTGCGATGAAGATTTCAACTTCTGGGCAAGACAAATTTTAATTTTCGAGGGAAAAGAAAAGCTGCGTGTGAGACAGCTCAGCTGAACGCACGACAAACTAAAGAAATCGCGAGACAGACGCGAGACGGTTACACATCACTAAAAGCACAGATATTTCGGCCACGAAATGAATCGCCCCCCTCAAGCGCGCTCCCGCGCCTTCGCCCGCTGCCTCCCCTTCTTCTTCCCCTGCCCACGGCTCCTCGCCGAAAATCCAACCAACCGCGTGGCGGCCGCTGGATGGCGAGGGAGAAGAGACGGCGAGCGGCTCATTTTGCCACGGGCGAGGATTCTAGAATTCGGGGTGAGCTTGAAGCTTGGAGCACTGCGCGGAATCCGCTCAGCCCAGGCTTGGGCCCCGTCGTCTTTGTCTCGTGCCTCATTTCAAAGACGCCGTCGGCGTCGACAATCGATGCCCCTTTTGTTTTTCGAGCCCCCACAAACCCGGAAAATGCGAGGGCACCCTCCCATAAGCCTCGCGGAACCCCCCAACCTCACCGCCGCCGGTTTTGCACAGGATGCCGCCTTGAAACTTATAAAGCAAAGCTAAGAGTGACAGTGCAATCGCCCCCCGATCGGGGCCCGGGCCCGACTGGCGCAATCGGGGCCGGAGCGGGGCCCGACAGTGCAATCGGGCCCCAGCCACCCATATTATGGCTCAACGCTGGTTCTCCTTAAGATGCGTAGCTTGGTACAGTTGACGGGGTCCGACGCAGTCCGATGGCTGACTGGCCCGGTGAACCTTTCCTCAGGGCTGCCCCGTAGCTTTTGCAGAACCTAGTAAAATCCTCTTGGAGTGTTTTTAGAACCTTACCCCATGCCCTTGCAGCCTCGTGGGCCCAAAGCCCACCAAGTAAGTGTTGCTCAGTAATGCCGAGCATTTACTCTGCCGCACAGTAAGCCCCGCAGCAACGTACAAAGCCAACATTTCGGGCCGCGTTGTGTGAGCAAGTGAGCACGACACAGAACCTCCCTCACGAAACCTTGCAGAACATTTGTGGAACGTTTGTGGAACCTTGTGGAGCCTTGTGGAACCTGTGTGGAATCATGTGGAATCGTTGTGGAGATCTGTTCAAACCCTGTGAAACCTTACAGGGCCGCCGCAGCCCTTGCAGAATGTCGTGGAACCCTGGTGGAACCCTCATCAACCTTGCCTCAAACCACCCGGACCACCCCGCTTGCAGAACCGCGGCGGAACCCTGATACAAACCTCATGAAACCTTACCTTGCAGAACCTGGTTAAACCCTGGTCGAACCCTGGTCCTGGCGGAATCCTGGTGCCCTCGTGGAACCTTGCCTCAAACCACCCCGGACAACCCCTCGCAGAACCTCGTGAAACCAGGTGGTGGAACCCTGGTGGAACCCTCATGGAACCCTGATGGAACCTTACCTCAAACCACACCGGAACGTGGAATTTTGGTGGAACCCGAAACAACGTTCATGAGCAGAACCCTGGTGGAACCCTGGTGGAACCCTGGTTGGAACCTTGCTGGAACTCATGGAACCTTACCTCAAACCACCCTTGCAGAACCTGGTGGAACCCTGGTGGAACTTTCGTGGAACCTTACCCCGGACCACCCCGGAGCGTATCTTTCAGCTGTTGGGGAACAAAGGAAGGGAAGGAAGGAAGGGAAGGAAGGAAAGGAAGGAAAGCGAGGAAAGGAAGGGAAGCAAGGAAAGGAAGGGAAGCAACGAAAGGAAGGGAAGGAAGGGAAAGGACATGAAAGGACGAGAAGCAAGGGAAGGAAGGTCAGGAAGGAACCACGCAAGAAAGCAAACAAGAACAGAAAGGAAGGAAGGAACGGAAGGAAGAGAAGGAAGGGGCCCGCTCAAGCGCGCCCGCTCAGCACTGGTCACGCCAGCTCAAAATGTAAGCACACCTGCTCAGAGCTTTTGTTGCATGCTGCAGCGGCTCGGGCGGAAGGGGGGGGGCACGTCAGTTCAAGTTCGAGTTTTTGCCTCTTGTTTTCTCTCCTCGTGGGAAATAGGGCGTGGAGCTCGAGTTCGAGGTTATGTTTCAGTTGGAGTTCGGGTTTCTGTTCGAGTTTCTGCAGTTCGAGTTTCTGTTGTAGTTCGAGTTCGAGTTTCTGCTTCTGCTTCGAGTTTCTTGCTTCCCCTCGACCTCGAGCTGTTGCTTCAGTTTGACGAGTTCCAGCTTCTGTTTCTGCTTCAGCTCGATGAGCTTTTGTTTCAGTTCGAGTTCGATTTTCCATTTGTTTTTATATCGGCAAGTTTTGGTGATGGTTCAAAGTTTGAACGATACCATTTGTCCATTTCAATCATCACTGCTTCAGAAGAGTGCGATTTTGAGGACGGCATCCAGGCGAGTATTGTAAACACCCCTGATCTCGGGCAAGGAGCAACTGTAGACTTGCTGAATCTTGCCATAGGGGATTGCCTGTCCGAGTCCAAAAGTGTTCAACCCCCCAGAGATTTGGCTGAGTTGCTGAGCCATGAGGGTCATGACTTTTGGCAAAAGTAATTAGATGATAAGAAAAAATCAGACCCAAACCAGAACCAGTAGGAACCCAGCCATGAGAGGGCGGCGTTGTATGTGTGCGAAAAGCCCCTCCCCTGAGTGTGCCAAGAGTGCTCCTGTCAAACCTTCCAAAAACGCTGGGATTGCCGCCCCTGCGCAAGGAAGATGGGCCGCATACTTCTTAGAGGGATAGCAGAAGTGGCAACAAATGACAAGCAACGCAGCCCACCTCCTCCGGGATGTGCACAGAGTTGAGCCTGCATCACTTGCTTGCATCACTCCCCAGATTGCTGCGTGGCCACTCGAACTAATTTGAAAGGCGTGGACGCCTTCAGCGTGTTGATTTCGGGGGGGGGAAAACATGGCGAGCGATCACTTTGCTCAACATCCTGTGTGCCTACGCCACTCCCTTGGTGAAAGCTTAGGGCGGCCCTGGATCAGGTGCGAAATCACCTACCTTTCTCTTTGGTATGGGATGTGCATCTGCGCGGACTTCAAGTTGAATTAGGCTTCATGCGCATGGTTTGGTGGGATTCCGCTATGGCTTGAGGCCACTTGAAGAGTTTTAGTTCTTGGTTTTCCTGCGGCTTGGTCTAAATGTTACTTGGGTAGACAGAATAGGCTGGATTGAGGGCCCAGCTATCTTTGGATTCAGGGCAGCTTTTGGTTTCAGCGCCTGAACCTTTTGAAATTGGGTCGCGTGATTTTTTAAGCCCGAATAAGTCAGTCATCGGGGGCAGGTGCTACTCCGAAGCCCGAAGCCCCGGTTTCAAGGTGACGGGCAGGTGTGGGGGTTGGCTTCAGCTTAGCACTCGTCGTTGGTTTCAGGGCCTTGTGCTGTCGGATGGTTTGGGTTCAGTCAGCCAAACGGCTCGGAACCGGCAGGATTGAAGTCGGGCTAGGCCTCGAGAATGGCGAAAAACACCCGCGGGTGCAGGTTTGCTTGAGGCGGCCTGAGGTTGGCATAGGGTGGCTTGGAAGTTTCAGCTGTCAAAGCGCTGGGCAGTGCAACCA